TATTTATTTAAATAAATGTATTTAAAACTCTAATTAAAGAAAATAATCATCTTCCCTAATACATACCAAGGGACTATTCTGCCAGGTCAAATTCTGGAGGTGTCTTGAAGAATAACACAACTCTGGGATAGTCCCAAATTTCAACAAGTGACTCAGGGAAACTCCTCTCCTTGCAAACAACACAGGCCAACAGTATTTTTTCTTCAGTCTGTGATTCATGGAGTCCTGGGAGTCTGTGGACTGAGAGGTCCTTGTAAAGTGACCAACAAAGGCACACCTATTGTCAATGGGCTTAATTCTCGTGTATTTCTCTTCATGCAAATCCATAAGGTCCACAAATTAAAACAGGTGGAAAACCCATGGAGCCTATGACATTACTTTTCTGTCCTGCACAGGACATTGTAACAAGGAACAGGGCAAAAAGACTGGGAGTCTCCCTCAAAGCCGCAAGGTGAAGGGGTTTGTCCAGGTGAAAAAGGACACCTCTCCCAGTTGAACATCCTGAGGGCATCGTTGTTATCAGATAAATACTTCGTGCTCCTCCTCTTGTCCTGTTTGTTGCTTTGTGATGAAAATTACTGGTGCCCACGCTAGGTTTGATTTAACCTTCTTTTTTCATGCTTGCTCTGGAATGTATTTTTTTCTTTTCTTTTTCAGTTCTTTCCTTTCACTTAGCCCAAAGGACCCATAATAGACCGTGTCTTTGCATTAGTCTATAGTGAGAATTTTACCTCTGTAAGACCTATCGAATTTTGGCCAAGAAGAGCTGAACTACTTACTTTCTGTCATGTGAGAGAGAACAAGACTGCAAACATGACAAATCCTTTCCAGTCACTATTCAAACACCTACATTGTTGGTACAATGCAAGTACTGATAAAACATTTTCTCTCGAATAGCATTTCTGATAGAGAAACCTGTTTGGTTTACTAAGAAGTCCAGAAAGAAAGCAGAGGTATAACTCCTGCAAGCTGTCCAAGATGACTACTGAAGTGTTTATTATGACCACGGTGGCTTAGTGTGAACCCACTGTGATGGGAATAGGTGCCTATGACCAAGCTTAGACCTGTACAAGGGGACTCTGTAGCCATCAGGATTATCACATGGCGGGGAGCATACATGCAGCACCAGGCAATGCTTAAATCTCCCAAGTAAGTCTGCAAATGCGGAGACCCTTTATGGTTTATTTAAGAGTAACTGATTCTGTTGTTGTCTGTTTTGTAGTCACTAAAATACTGGATGTTAGAGAAATGTGGACTTTACATCGTTCTGTTTCCAGTGTTAAAACAAAAAGGCTCTGTGGCTAAGAAAATGTGATAATCCCATTGACCCAGTTTGTTTGGGAGGATGGTTATAGACACTTTGAAAATTAAACGGGGCGAACACATGGTAACAGGTCTTCTAATGGGAATTAAATCTAAATCTCTAGAAATCACCTAAAGTTTGAAAAGTCTTTAAATGATTGGATACCTGATGGTTAACAAGTCAGAGAACAAGCACGCCGTGGATGCCATGTTTCTGTGGAGAAATTAGAAGCTCTGCAAATAAATGAATTTAAAGTAAGATTAGACAGATCTATGCTTCTGGCCTGCAGAATGGCATGGGTTAAGAAACCTGTCACATTTGCAAAAATGGGGATAATGATATTTACCTTTCTTTGTCTATCTCCCTGATATTTATGGATGACAAGTAATATGCCAGAGGTAAACAATAGCATATCTCAAAAGTGAGTTCAAGGTAGATAGAGAAATTCAACATTCAGCATTGAAGCAGAGGAACATAATGACACAAAGGGAAATTAAGAAGAGTTCAGAAACATAATGTGCTTTCTTTTTCCTCATAGGTCCTGTACAATTTGTTCAAGTCTTTCTGCCAGATGCGCACAATTAAGGTTATTGACATATTCGCTGGGATTGCTAACTTCTTTATAGTGGGGATCGGTGGAGTATTGATTGGAATCCTTTTGGGATTTGTAGCAGCCTTTACCACCCGTTTCACCCATAAAATCCGAGTGATTGAGCCACTCTTTGTCTTCCTGTACAGTTACTTGTCATACATAACAGCTGAAATGTTTCATCTCTCGGGCATCATGGCGTAAGTACCCCAAACTTCAGTAATAATAGCACCCAAGTAAGAATGCCAAAGGAAATTGCAGAGGGGACCAGATTTTGCAAACTTTGCCATATGGCATCGTTCCACTGTGCACGTCAGCGATGCTGGCTTGAGGATTTCCGGCCTCTCCCCTCCCGCTTCCATCCCATTCTCTCAGCTTGCCACCACACCAGCTGTGTCACTAAAACTGTTCATGGCATCACACCATAAACCATATCTTTGATGTGTTCCCAGTTAAAAATAATCCCTTGTATTTTCAGTGGGGTTATTTTTAACCCAGATGGGTTTGGTGACCGGTGTCCTCATGTGACCCTACAACTGGTCATAAGGGCATGGCTTAGGGGTGATGTTCAAATCCACAGTGATGGAGGGGCAGCGGTGACTGGGCGGGAGTGGGAGTGGTGGCTGGGAACTTCAAGAACTGGCTTCGCTTCCGATGCCAATATATTGTGAAACTACGTCTTACACTTCGTCATGTGAGCAGCCAGTAAGTACCGTTCAATGAAGACAATGTATATATCATTAAGGCAAACTCCTGCTGGATTACAAGCACAGTAAGGACTGGCTGAATGTAAAATTTGCAGAATCTAGTCCTATGGTGATAGAACCGTTTAGTTTAGTATCTTGATACGTGTACCTGTGTGTTACAATGCTCTCTGTATACATCATTATGTATAAAATAATATTATTCTTCCCACTTGCAACAGATAAAAATATTTTCACTCCTGCATTTCCCTCCTAGGCTTCAGTAAAAGAAGAGCACAGCCTCTCGCTTGATTCTGTTTAGACTGTAACAACCTCAGCTTCAGAAAGAACCTTCATGACATTTGAGATACTTAAATGGTTTGCTCTGGTTCCAAGTAATATTTTTAAAGGCCAACCTTCTTTAATGACTTTGTATTGTTCTCGTGGCAAATATGAGTCATTCAGGCATTAGGAGCATAGTTTTTTATGAAAGCTCAGATGTTACTTCTGAGTATCACTAATAGTTGATAATACCTTATTGGATGATTATCTTTTAGGAAGGTGAAGATAGGTTTGATATCATAGTTGGGCCAGTATAAGGTTTTCTGGGGCTGGGAAGCAGTTTACATGGAAACTTACAGCTGATAATTTCAGTAGTATAAAAATAGAAATATGCCTAGAGGGCTTAGTACTTTAATATAAGTAAAGAGCTAAAGATTGCATGGGTTTCTTTCTCTGATATGAGCCTAAATAAAGTAGCATATGCATCCACTTTGACCGAGTTCGTAAATGTGCCATCTCTTTCTATTCATAGCATTTGTGTGGTTTCTAGTTTCCTCCACTTCTTTAGTTAAATGTCCTTGACATCCTATGATCAAATACTTAAAGGGCTTCTAAACCAAAACACGTGTGGCTAAACTGTACGTGGAAAAATTGTGGCAGTGTGCATGAAAATACTGATTTGGACAATGCTGCATCCAGGATAGAGTGGGAAGGGCACGGTGGGTCTGCCGATGGGTCAGTGGACCCCCCGCCTGCCACCAGCACACCAGTGGCCCCTGAGTGGGTGCAAAACAGAAGAGGAAACACAAAGCATTTTTTTCCCTCCAACAGCACAATAGAAAATAAGTTTAAAATGTCCTGTATGTTTTTTGACTCTAAACGTGTTTTGTAATAGCTAATGGGGCTGGATACATCGGTCACACCGGGGGGGGGGGGCAGGACGAGCTCTCTGCAGCCATGTAGTGCCTTGGCTGTCATCAGACGTAAAGCGTGCTCCCTCCCAGCAGTGCTGCTGAGGGCCGTAGGGCTCCTGTCATCTCCCGTGGAGTACGTCTGCCCTGTCCTTTTCACATTTCGTTGGGCTTTGAACTGCAGGGAGTATTTTGCTCTGTGTCACAGCGCGACACGCACCGGTATTGAGTTCCCTGTTGTTTTCTGCAGCAAATGACTCATGGCAGGATTGCTTGGGTCTGACTTCAAAGTCAGCCCTCCTTTGAGCATGTAGTTGGACCAAATGACCTTGGAGTGTCCCTTACAACCCGTATTGTTCATTCGTTATATGCTTCTGCGGCCATTTATAGTTCAGCCTGTAGGGAATAATTGCCCAATCTCCCCTTTTTCACCCATATCCACGTGAGTCTGTGAAATTACTGATTCCCACTTCCTTCATAACCAGGTTCGTAAAGATACTCAGCGAGACCTTGTGGTTACGTGCTGTAGGGGGAAGACATGAGCAGGAACGTACAGTGTTATCAAATAAATAAAGATACATGCACAGAGTGCCTCATTTCTGTGCAAGCAGAAATTCACTGGCAGAGGAATAGAGGGGAATGAAAGGTGCTTGTCTCTCTTCTGGTAAGTCTGTGTGCTTGTTCTGAGGACAAACGATTCTTGAAGCATCTGTGTAGAACCCCTGCACCAGGTTACCTGGCTGAAATAGCGAAGGGACTGAAGCACATCCCTGTGAGCTGCAGTGAGAAAGTCCTCTTCAGGAGGGGACGAGAGGAGAGGAGAGGGAGAGGAGAGGGAGAGGAGAGGGAGAGGAGAGGAGAGAAGAGGCTTCTGCTGGTGCTAAGAGGAATGAGAAAGTTTGGGAGGTG